TGTGTGTGTGTGTGTGTGTGTGTGTGTGTGTGTGTGTGTATGTGTATGTTGAAGACTCAGGTTACCTGTTCATCGGACTAAAGTCATCTTTACAAATTGAGATGCCTTCCGGTCCAACCCCAATGAGGAGTTTCTGTCCTTCACTGTCCCTCACAGCATGCCACTCGACGCCGTAATTCTCCATGGCTGACACGACCTGCAGAACCTGGTACTCTGCAGAAGCCTGGCTGATGCCCTCCAGCTCCTTATGCTTCGCAACAATGCTGTGGAGTATCCAAAGGTGCCAAGTTAGACAGGTCAGTTCATGCGTTCCTTAAAGCTTATATCTCACTAGTGAATTATAGGGATGCGGTCATTTATGGATCACGAAAGCATTTACTGTGAAATACTTCTAAGACACTGTTGGAATCACAACTACGGGGCCAGTGAGATGGCTCATTGGGTAAAGGTGCTTGCTCAAAGCTTGAGTTTGAACTCTGGGACACACAAGATGGAAGGAAAGAACTCACTCTCACCAGCTTTCTTACACACACACACACACACACACACACACACACACACACACACCCCACACACAAATGTATTCTTTAAAAAAGATCTCAACAAATATTGAGAACCCATCATTTGGGAATACTGGTAAACTGAAAGGATTATGGAAAAATCACTGAACATACACACTAGACAAATGTGTAGGCTAGATCCCCTCATATATTTATCTACATAGACTTTACAAGTTTCCTGATAGGCTAGCAGCACAGGGGACTGATTAGATTATTTGCAGCTGAAGAAAACATAGATCTATGTTCTCTGTTGTGGCAAGGCAGTCTGAACTGTGGTCCTTGGTGATCTGGTCTCCCAATGTAGCCTTCCCTTGAGTCTGGTCTGGGCTAATGACCGGCTTCTAATGAACAGAAAATGGTGGAAGACCATTGCCTGGCATGAAGCTGTCTTCTGAGATGGAGTCATGAAGGTCTGATTTCTTTCCTGGCTCTTCTCTCTTGCTCTTGGATCACTCACATTGGGTGATCCAGCTACCACACCATGAAAAGGCCCCGACGTCAGACGGCAAGAGAAAGAGGCTGGCCAAGAAGCTCAGGAGTCACCTGGAGCCAGAGGCCTCCCTCAGCTGGGCTTTTAGATGAGACTGACCTCTGGGGCTTGCTCTGCCCTCAAGCCACAGCTGTGTCCCTGCCCATGCATTCTCAGATAACGTCTGTTGGTTTAAGCTGAGTTGGGGGTTAGCTTGTTACACAGGAAGAGGTAACTGAGCCGCCTAAGTTAGGCCTCAGGCTGTAATTCTTCCTGGGATGAAGCAAACACCAATAAACATGCTGGATTTTTATTGTAGGAGATTTACAGATTTAAAAGGTCAGGCACTTTGGAGATCCTTGTTATTTATGGAATTTCATATAAGGGCATTTATCTGCATGGACTGTTATGTATTGGTAAGCTTCTCAAATAAAAGGCACATGAATCTTCTGAAAATGACTGGCTAAACCTGGCAGTGGCCTGCACTCTGCCTCACAAATTCCAAGACAACACCGTAAGTTTCCTGATTCTTATCGAGTCGATGGCTGTGAACACGCATGCTAGCCAGAGTGCACGGCTAGCCTCCGGCAGCGGCCTCACCTGTTCAGGGTCGCGCTGGAGAGTTCCTTCTCACACAGGTCCTCATAGTTGTACTTGGCTGTGTTCTGGTTGTAGTCTCCGAATTTGGTCTGGGCCAGGAGGGCGCTAAGCTCCACTGCCTGCTCTGGGGAGCACTGGAGGTGGCCTGCTAAGAGGGATTCTTTAATGTGCAAGAAAAAGATATGCCTGCAAAAGAAGGAGAGAATGACTGAGGCTTGCTTGGGATAACAGTATCTGAGCCAGCCTTCTGGGCGGGGGTGTGGCTAAGTGTGGCTAAGGGAAAGAATGCCCAGCACTGTTAAAAAAAAAAACAAAACAAAAAAAAAACAAAAAAAACCAACAAAACAACCAAGTTCCACCACCTTTGCAATTTCACACTCAAGTACTTTCTTTTTTAAGCAAAGAGAGCAAGTATAGAGGGGGCGCTCAGCAGATGAGGGAGCTTGCAGCCAGGGCTAAGGACCTGGGTTCTAGTCCTCGGCCCATACAACGGGAGGAGACTCCCCACGAATTGTCTTCTGACGTCTATGTGTGTAGCATGGCAAGCTCCCTCTTCAAATCAGTAAATAAAACGTCAAAAGATGTAAATAACAGAAACAGACCAAGTTAGCATTAGAATGTGTTAAAGGCAATTTAGGAGTCAATTTTGTTTTGTCTGTTTGGTTTGGTTTTTTGAGACAGGGAATCACATAGTTCAGGCTGGCCTCAAACTTGCTATGTGGCTGAGGGTCCTCTTGCCTCTGCACATTATACACATACACAACTCCTCCACTCCGCTGGAAAACCTATCTTGTAAACTTTGACTTTAGGGACAGCAAAAAAGAATGTCCCCCAAATTCTCAGAATCCTACTTCAATGCCCACCTACCAGAGACTTCACCAGCCAGATGACCTTCAGCATGTCAAAGACTATGGACAGAGGACAACCTCAGGTGTCATCCTTGGAAATACCATCCACCTCTGGCAGAGTGTCTCACTGGCCTAGACAGAACTATTGGGCTAGCCTGGTTGGCAAGTGTATGCTTGGCATTTTTTTAATGGGTTGCAGGGATTGAATTCAGATCCTCATGCTTGCCAGACAAGCAGTTCTCGCTGAGCCTTCCTCCAGCCCCTGTCTCAGAGCTCTTCAGACCAAGGTCTGTTCTTACCATCTGGGCCTCCTTGGTCCTACTCACAGCCTAAGAGTGACCAGAGTTTCTGTGACCTGGGGACCCCGCTTCCCTCCAGATTCTGCATCCCACCATCCAAGCTGCTGGCTATCATGGCTCCCAGTAAAAACACTCTATCTTTCTGCTCAAAGTCCTTCACAGGGATGCCCCAGGGTGCCTGAAACCCAGGCTTCCCCACTGGTGGCCTCCAGCCACCACTCCTGTCTCTGTGCTACGCATAGGGACCACCCAGCCTTGCAGCAACCTGTCCCGATGGCCCCTCGCCTGTCCTCTAACTTGGTCACTTTTTGATCTACCTTGCATACGGACCATCTACTTCTGGACTGTGTTATGTAACAAGTTACAACTTCGAGCTTCTTTAGCTAGCTGCACCTGGGCTGGCTTAATTGCCTCTAACATCAGAGAGCTCCATAAATGCATGTAAAACACCATGCATCTGTGTTATTTTATATTGCAGTTTTGCTCTGAGCCTACACTAAGTACATGCAACATTAAATTCTACATTTACTACAAGGTATGCATGCCACAGAAATTCCTGGGAAAATCCAGATATTGTTTTTTATTGTCCAAAATCCTGAAGTTGTTATCTGAGTCACCACAGAGGTTAGGCGATACAACTTATCTCTGGCATATGTGAAGTTTTAACTTTCTTTGATGACTTGTGGCAGCCTCTCGCAGGTGCTAGAAAAACACAATCATGAATTCTAGCCATTGGTGAGGTCCCAGACCCTGTGTAAGGCCAGCTTCTCACTCTCCCAGCCCTCCACAGGGCCTTCACTTTTGTACCACACCTTGCCTTTCAAGGGATGAGTGTAGTGGGTAGCCATTCCAGCTTTGACCTGGAAGTCCAACCCCCATTGAGGCTTCGGTAACTGTTACGCCTACAAGGCGGGGCCAAGAGAGAACCCTGAAGACCTGAGACCCGGATGGGCCGGCTCTCTTGGTTCCTGGGCCCTGGATGCTGGAGGTAGACCGAGCAGAGTTCTCCAGAGAACACTGCCGGACTGCGCCTTACCCAGACCCTGTAAACTAGTCCTTCACTTGTGAGTTACCCCACAAAATAAACCTGCCTTTTAACTACGTGGAGTGGCCTTAATAATTCCACCAATAGATGAGCATGAGAAAGGTAAGAAAGGAATTAGGGCAATAGCGGTGACAACCCCAAGGGACTGTGTTAAGGACCTCACATCATCAGGCCGACAAGGTCCATTTCTCTTCCTTAACTGAGGACTAGTCATTTAGTCTTTTGCACATTCAGTAATGATAAATGTTTAAAATGATGAGACAGCCTTAAACGGTTCAGTTTCTTCCTAAGATTCGTAGTAGCATTCAAAGAGAACAGACACCGCTTTTATTAACCCAGACATCTGGTAGTCTTTAAAGTATTTCTTCCATACTGCTAAGCTGAGAAAGAGGCCCTGCTGGGGCCAGGGAATTATCACAGGAAAAAAACTGCTTTTAAAATAGCTACACAGCTAGCTGGTGTGGTGGCACACACCTTTAATCCCAGCACTCCGGAAGCAGAAGCAGGCAGATTTCTGTGAGGTTAGGCCAGCCTGGTCTACATAGTGAGACCCCCTTCTCAAAAGGAAAAAAAAAAATGAATAAGACGCTATCAGAGGGTGCAAGTCCATATTCTCACAAAACCCTGCTGTTGCTCACAGGGAAAATGGACTCTTGATGTACCTCTGCCCGTTCAAGCACAGGATATATTTTCAGGAGCCTGCAGTCCGAATCTATGCTTACACTCAAGAAGAAACCATGTGCCAAAAGATTTTAAGATTAGCACCGCAAACTGAGCCTTCGCAATTTAATTACTGTGAATGTAAAGGTCTCTTTTGACTTATTTTCCTAGCATGAAGTTTGAAACTGCTTCCTGCTTTATTAAACAGTACGGAGAGCTGCCAAAGACGACTTTTCAAATTTATTCAATTTCTTTTTCCAAATTCTCTACGCCTACTTCTGGAGGGACAGCCGCCAAGAGCAGAGCAAAGGAACGGAATGGAACGGAACAGCAACCCAACGTAAACAGGTGGCCAGGAGCCTAGAGCAATGCCATCCTTCCCCAGGAGTGGGTGAGAACTGGAACAATGGCCTGGGGGCGGGGCACACTGGGGTGCTCCAGCAGGGAGGCTGAACTGTGCTCAGAGCCCAGCAGGCACAAGCACTCCTGCTCACAGTCCACGCAGACCTCTTCCTGTAGGCCGCAGTTTTCATGGCTTTACGGCCGCCTTTCATTCCAAGTCAATAAAGATTTGTCACACACTGCCTCTGTGCCCCGCCCCACATTGGGGTTATGGGATGGACACATCTGTCTGATAGTTGTTTTTTTTTTTTTTTTAGATGGAACACACAGTCTTTGGAGGAAAGGAACGGAATGTATCTCATCAAAACAACCCCAGTCACAGATTGGCTTCTGGGTGACAAGGGTCCAGGCACCAGTGTCAAGGAGCAGGGGTGGCCAATGTCACCAAGCCTGCTGAGCTATCACAAGACTCATCAGTGTGCTCTTTCCAAGAGGGAGGGTGGCAGTGCTCAAAACCATGTTTCCAAAAGGGAATTCAGTAAGGGCTCAGGATTTGGGTGGCTTTGATGTAGGATGAATTATTAATAGTTTCTCACCTTAACTATCTGCCATATAACTATTTTTTTTTAATGAAAGGGGTAAAAGGTTACAAATAATATGAAACAAATAGATAGAGTCAAAAAAGTCAAGCCTGTAGAGAATAATTTTTAAAAGTATATCTCACAAGTGGATAATCTATCTAGTTCCATATATATTACAGCATGGAATCACACACAAAAGGCTTTGAAAAATACCTACTTTGTTTTGGCAAATGCCTATGAATACATTCTATGGACATAAGCTCATACTACATTTTCTATGTATTCCTATGGTTATACTTGGAAATTAATTTTTCAAGTTTTAACCAGTTACAAAGAACATGGTTATTTCCAATATGGCCACACTGTGGGGCCCAGGGTGCATTATTCTAGCCAAGTCCGATATTTGTTTCATAGATACAAATGAAGTCACACATGCTATAAAAATAGGGTGAGGGGCTGGAGGAATGCCTCAGTGGTTAAGAGCACCAGCAGCTCTTTCAGAGGACCAGGGTTCAATTCTCAGCATCTACATGGTGGCTCACAACCATCTATAACTCCAGTTCTGGTGGATCTGAAGCCATCTTATAGCCTGTGGGCAGTGGCACTCATGTGGTGCACAGATACAGACATGTAGGCAAAACATGTAGGCAAAACACCCATATACAAAGTAAAAATAAAATTTTTTAAATTGGGCAAAATTTGAGATGTCAAATTTTAATTTTGAAAAGGAAGCAAAATCTTTAAAAAATTGCATTTACTTATTCACTTTATTGTATATGTTTGGGTGAGCGCCACAGTTTATTTTTGGAACTCAAAGGGCAAATTGTGGGAGTCAATTCTTTCCTTCCACCATGTGGGTCTCAGGGACTGAACTCAGACCAGGTTGGTGGCAGGCATCTTTATCCTAAACTCATACCAGGTTGGTGGCAGGCATCTTTATCCACTGTGCCATCATATGGTCATGAAGCACTTACTCTTAATATATTTTTGCTTCAAAATTCCTCAATAATTTCTCTTTTAAAATCCATGCCTTTTCAGGGGCCAGAGAGATGGCTCAGCAGTTAAGAGTTCTTGTTGTTCTTACAGAAGACAAGGATTTGGTTCTCTGGGCACCAAGCATGCTTGTGGTGCACATACATACATATATACATACATGTAGGCAAACACTCATACACATAAAATTAAACATTAAAAATTTTTTAATTAAAAAAATAAAATCCATGCCTTTTCATAGTGTTAATAACAGGAACCATTTATCTTGAGGCTTGTGATCAGAGGACTCTCTTGTCTGAACACTAACCATTTCACAGAAATACCCTCTAGTACTCATAACAGAACTTTCCAGAAGCTCATTGAAAGCTCATTGTATGGGTGATGTTCGAATGCTTGTTCCCCAGTTGAAGAACTGTTT